GCGGCAGCGAGAGGAGTAGATGAACGAGTGACAGCTAGGGTTTGTCCGTCGCATTCTTAGTCATTTTGTCCCTGCCTGATTGGCTTGTTCTACATAGACACACCATTGGTCCATCATGTAGAAAGTTCTACAATAATCATGTGCGCACTTGCGAGAATGGTTAGCTTCAAGTCTAGTCAGTAGAGGTCTTTTTTTAGAACAATTGTTCGATGTCAGAATGAGCAATGTGACGCCACAATCGCCTTCCTGCTTTTGTTTTCAAATTGTTCTGTCGTCACGAGGAATGAGATTGTGGAACTTTTCAAAATGCATAGCAAGGGTTTGGCAAGGGAGTGGATGCGGCGCATACGCTAAGGCGGTGGTGAGGACACCGAAGGGGCCACCGACAGATCATAGTGAGGTGCAGGATGCATCCTAATTTTGCTTCTTTCGAGGTCCTTCTTGTAATTGTGCTTTATATGTTTATTGTCATTTATAAAGCAGGATTTTTAGTATTCAAAAAAAATTTATTCTAAATATTTTTATGTCTCTCATAACCTGTCTTTGCTTTTTGAGAAGAAGAAAATAAAATATACTCCCTCCGTTCCTAAATATAAGTCTTTGTAGAGATTCCACTATGGACTACATACAGAGCAAAATGCATGAATTTATAATCTAAAATGCATCTATATACATCCGTATGTGGTCCATAGTGAAATCTCTACAAAGACTTATATCTATATACATCCGTATGTGATTCCACTTTTATCGTTCTTTTCTCACGCATAACCCATCTATGCATTCATGGGCCGGCCCATATGCGGGGCTTTACTCCCCTGTTTCTTCTCATTTTACTTTTTTGTCTTTTCTGTTTTCTTTCTTCTTTAAATTAATTTGGGATCTAATATTCTAAAGTTACGAGTTTTCAAACAAAATGTTTGAGAAATCATATAATATACGTGAATTCAAAAATGTTTAGAAAATCATAAAAAATTGCAGATTTAAAAAATGCTGGTGGTTTTGCAAAATTGTTTGCAATATTATAAAAGAATCACAATTTGGAAAAATGGTCGGGAAATAAAATCATGTTCATGATTTTGAAAAAAATGATCATGTAGTCAAAACATATTCAAAAATCTGAAAAAAAAATGTCCATGACATTTTAGAAAATGTTCACAAAAGAATTATTTTTAAAATTTGTTCCCCAATTTAAAAAAAAATTATCGATTCAAAAAATGTTTGTTGAGTCAAAAATGTTAATGAATTTGAAACCGTTTCATACATTTAAAAAAGTTTGTAAACAAAACTAAAGCTCATTATTTTTTTGAGAAAATAAAAGGTTTTAAAAAAACATGTTTGTCGATTCGAAAAACTGTTCACTGATTCAAAAGTATTTTATGTTTAGGATTCGATTAGTTTTCTGAAAGTCTTTATATGTCTTGGCGTTGGGAGTAGTTCGTAGTCAATAAGATTTGTTTTAAAAGTTTTAAACGTTTCCTTGCGCAACATAATGACAAATGTGACATGCACTGGCAAACTCATAGCCTTGTGATTTACTGCATCGAATGCATTATGATCACGTAGACATCGTGATCATCGGCTAGTGTGAAAAAAAAAATAGAAACATGGTGATCCACTGTGTTAAAATAAAGTACGCTCATGTGTCAGGATATTGAGTCATACTTATTTGGTTAGCCATAATTTACGCACGGGCATATTTGCTAGTGCTAACCAAAGCCAGTGCAAGGTCTCCCACGAGGGACGAAGCGGAGGGGAAACTTTGGTGCGCCGCCCCCATGGCCGGAAGCCGTCGCCGCCGCCGCCGCCGCCGCGCTAGAGAGCTGCTGCCGCAGCAGGGCACCGAACCCTCGCCGCCGGAAGACGCCGCTCTGAGCTCGAGGTCTGCACCCTGACCGCAACCGTAACCTCGCTCGTCTCTCCTTTTTCTTCCAAATTTTATCTAGGGTTTGTTTATTTATTATAAGCGGATGCGAGTGGTCCATCGAAACTAGAATCAGTACGCGCTCTAGTGATTTCGTAGTGAAATTTAGTAGTGGTTGTAGTGCACTGGCCTCCCCTGAATTTGGATCTGCAGCACTGTCTAGTGTCTACCAGGTGCGTCTGTACTAGCAATGTAACATTGAACAATTTCACTCGGATCAGTTGTTGATAACTTCATTGTCTCTCATCAGTGAGATGGTTTCGTTCCTTAACTACAATGCTGTAGATGCGTATTACAGTTTTGATAGCTTTTGTTCTGGCCGTGGTCATATTGCTGCCTTGGTTCAGTCAGCCATGAACTGAAACTCGTTGTCAAATGTGATTTGGTGGATACTTTTAGAGACTATTATTGAGAAGGAATAAGTTTTAAAAATTATCGAACTTGTCCACATAAACAGGGGACGGATTATCATCCTTTTTTGTGTTATGGAAATGTATATTCATCACTTGATGTGATTCAATTTATTGCACGGTTGGGTTGGATCCAAAGTAAAATCAGCAAAGAGTGCGTCTCATTTCATCAGCATATGGTCTCTTGTTCATTTGGTCTTTCTCATGGAGCATGGTCATGGTGCTGCCATGAACAATAATAGATAACGGCCAAGTGAATTGCAGAGTACCATGAAAGACTCATCACATAAAGTTTTCTAGAAGAAGGGGTGCATACTATTGCGTTTTTAGCAAAATTATCACAGAGACCAAGTAAATTGCAGATCAGAAAAATCATCACATAAAAGTTTTCTAGAAGAAGGGGACCATACTATTGCGTTTTTGCGTCGAAGAAAATCATCACTATAATGCACCCCCTCTGTCATGATTTGAAGATATATAAAAAAAGCAAGTAGAAAAGGAACGCAAGTCGTAGGTGGTGCTGGAATAGCTTCTTCTAATTGAAGTTTGGTGTGTCACAGTTGACATTCCTGTTTGCCTTATTGTTCAGTTAAAGCGTATTGCATTTCTTGTAGTATATTAACTCCTGAAATATTCATTAAAATATTTATGTTCCAGTTCTTTATTTTGATCCATTATTCTTGAATTTCTATGTGGCAGAGAAGTTACCACTGTGGAGAGTCCCTGCCCTGCCTCAGCCTCTACCTCTTCGCCTTTGTCTGGACCTCATGTTTGTGCAGATCTCCTGGACAGCCTGCTTCACGAAATAATTGCTCTCTTTAACTCATTCCAAGACTTCCTTGCTTTCATTGGCACCTGCCACTCATGGCGCACTGCAGTCTCTACCTTTCCCTCTGTGTATACATTCAGCTTCCCGCCACTCCATTTCAAACCAGATGGTCCATATGTTCATCCACATAGTGGCGATATCAAGCCCATCCTTTTATCTAATTGCAGATGGCAGCTCAGTGATCCTACCAAGAAAAACTTATCCCTTGTGTGCTCAGTGCCTGAAAATAGTCCAAATGCAATGCACTATTTGGGCTGCTCATATGGGTATCTTATCTTCTCCTACGAGGAGCACTGCCTCCTTGTGGATGTGTACACTGGTAGCAAGGTGAAGCCCCCCAAACTCCCACCCAACAACAATCTTGGGTACTTTTGTGGCATAGGCATCCTTACGGCTCCATTAATTTCAGCCAACTCTCGCCTCCTCCTTTTCTCGAGGGCTTCCATGTTTGAGTGGCAGGTTGGAACAAACTCCTGGTCAGAGCACCCTCTTGATCTTGGCCGCGAACGCATCTATCAGATTGTGTTCTTCAAAGGTGATATCTTTGCCATAGATGCTCTTATGAGGCTCCACACTATACACTTGACACCTCGGTTCAGCATGCGAGAAGTACCAATTCAATGGGAATTCCTGTCTATTAACTTATGGTTGGTGGTCTGTGGTGACATGCTCCTCATGATTGCCCAGAGGTTAAACTCTGGCGGATTGGATGGCTCATCCTTTAAGGTCTTTCGACTCGACTTCACTGTTGAACCAGCTAAGTGGGTGAAGGTGGAGAAGTTGGAAAATATTGCCCTGTTTGTTAGCCTTGATAGGAGGGATCCTACATTTTATTGCATGAGCCCAGAAAGATGGGGAGGAAAGAGTAACTGCATTTATTTTGCAAGGCTATCTGAAGATCCTGAGGAAACTTGGTCTGCCGCTGAGCTTGGTCAGCTAGTGCCAAAAAACGCAGTTCACCCCATGTTCTATGGTATGTCATTCCCTCCCGACTGTGGTGTACTGAGTAGCCTATGGGTGTTCCCCAGTTTAATTTATGGTTCTGGCTAGTGATCCTGTCACAGGGTTTTTATCTTAGTTAGCAATTGGTTTTGTAGCCATGATGGTTTCTGACTTTGGGAGCAACGTTTTGTGTTCAAGTACAATTGATCTCTATTGGCATGCTGCTCTTACGCCTGGGTGTATTGTGCATTTGTCATGTGCTTGCACCGGGTTTCATCCACGTGCTGATAAATGAGACATATTGTCAAGTATAACTTGGGTACTATTCTGGGCAAACTCATCGTGTATTCAACTTCACTTTACCTACCTTATTATGTGTACATGCTGGGGTGCTCTAAACCACCACCTTGGATAATTTTTCTTTTTGCTGGATTGGATTGAATCGTTCATTGTTGAACTGGATGTAATGTACCGGATGGTGGTTTTCTTCCCCTTTTTAGTTGGTAATTTGTTGATGGAGCAGGAGAAAGCTTGCATGTTTACTCTGGAACCACTCTGCAAATCACGTCTTGTGCTTACATCTTATTGGGTGGGGTCTCTGTCTTAAGCTTGTGCGTCTTGTGCTTACATCTTATTGGGTGGGGTCTCTGTCTTAAGCTTGTGCCTCTGTATTCTGTATGTACAACTTGGGCAAGCAATGGCTCCATCTCACATAACGAACCAGTTTTCTTTTCTCACGTACAAGTACATCACTAATAGACTAGCTCATCATTTTCATTTACAAAAAACATTCAAAATGACAGGACTAAATCAGCAATATGTATGTTTGAGACAGATGTTAGAATAATCCGAGGCACTCCGTCTTCTACCGAGGACCAAGCAATCACATAAGCACGACACCGAGATTTGTTAACGAGGTTCACCATCATGGTTACATCCCCGGGGCCTGACTACGGGGGCTCCTCCCCGTGACACCGTCACAATACCGCACCCCGGCCGCCCGGGCGCCGGCACACGCCACCGGCTCCCTCACGTGCCCGTGCTATTATGTTGGCATGGGTTACATCGTGTGTCTACTCCTGATATATATGAGAGGCCTAGGATACAAATGTCTTATTAGGACACACCTCCTACCCTGTCTACACACAGTCCAAACCAAGTCCAACTGTAACCTACCTTGTATAATAATATTCGACATAATTCTAACAAACTCCACATTGGCGAATATTCTCCACCACCTTGAATTCGTCCGTGCGTCGAACCTCCATGTACATTGGACTTGAGATACACCATGAGCACCGCTGCTACTCCCAAACTCCATGTGACTCCACATGTAACTGTAATCCCTTCTCGTCTTCATCACAGTCAACACTCGAGCAAAAATTAAGTTCCTTGTTACTCTACTTTGTGCTCCCAACTTCCGGAGTATCCGCTCAACGCCATCACACACTGATCATTAATCTGCATGAAAATGAACAACTTGCATATTGGGTGTCACATATAAGAGTTATCTGAACTCAACATCACCGCTCTTTCATGACCGTCTGTCTGAAACTTGAAGGAATTTCACCGTCGCCCCGTGTCACTTTGAGTCAAATTCACAGTTGTCTCACCCTTTTCCCCGGATAGTCTCTGACATGTCCCACAACTATAGCACTCAAACCTCCTTCTGTACTTGTCACCCGCACTTTGCCATGTGCACCGAACACCACAGATTATACGGCCATGTACTCTCTCCGCTTTTGACAATTTCAGACTTTTCGTCACTTTCACAGATTCTCCATGGTCAACTCCTGTCCATCTTCCGGCACCGATAAACCCAGTCACCAACTTGAATCCGGTACTCGTCAACACTGCTTCAGCACCCATGCACAATTTGTCTGACCACCAGTGCCTTGGCCTGTCGCTGTGTCACCGTGCTTACCGCACGCCTCGCCGCTATCACCGCGTCGAGCCTCTGCTGTCCTGGTCGAGTCTCCCGGGTAGCTATCCCCCACTATCTCAACTCCCACTGCAGAGAACCATCGATCATCACCGACCGATGCCGAGTATCACGCCTCCATCAGACCACTGGTACCCAGTCCGATCCACGTGTCTCTCGCTATCCCGCTGAAATAGGCTTCGACTCTCCGAATTCTTACGCCGTAACCCCTCCATCAGCACAGAGTGAAGTCATCCGTCTGACTCCAGCTCCACCTTCAACATGACTCCATGGTGGTTGTACGTGCCACCCTCACGCGCCCTGTCGACTCCAAGCTCTCATGTGCACCGTCTTGAATCAACCCTGCGCCATAGTCTGTCGAAGCCGCACAAGCCCTCAAGCCTGCATCACGTGTTTCCACGCCCCAAAAGCCGGTCACCATCAGCATCATGCTCCTGTGTCGTCGTCGCTGAAATCACCGCCGTCTTCTACTTTGACTGACATTCCCGTCGATCCATCAGACTGTCCAGTCCAACCCAACCAAAATTATCCGACTGCAATCATGCTTCACCCTGCGTCGTGTCCGCCTGCACATCTTCATGCCTTGCTTAACGCCCTGTGTATGCATGATCCTGCCACGACGAACTCCAGACTCCTCCGAGCCTTATACGCACGTCGCCATCCTCGCCACATACTCTTTGAACCCTCTGAACAATCTTAATGGAAAAACTTCCATGCAAAATACCTATTCCTTGCACCATAATTTTTTCATATCCATTGCCCAGTACTTGTACGTGTACTCTAGCAGCAAGACAAATTGTTTCATCTCTCAACTGCCCCCGTACGCAATCAAGTTCCGTATGCATGTGTCGACAGGCACTAAAGCCTTCTTTTTTTTAACCACAAATCTCACGAACCAGCCTCGCCACGATGCACCCTCGACCTGCAACTTGCACGCCAGCCTCTACCCAACTCGCACACGCATACGGGCCTCTCGCGCAGCAACCCACACGACCTCGCCTAGGCCTGTTGCCGGGCTGCAACGAGCCTAGCTCCTCCATGTCTGGGCCACCTTGGACGCCACCTAGGCCACGCGCCTGGCTCTGACTTGCCGTTCGCTCGACCCTACACGACGCTTGCGTCAGCCCCTGTCATCTGCCAGCGAGCCCTCGCCAGCCGCCGCATCGCGTTATGCCCGAAACCAATCTGACGATCACCAAAGTCGCCCATAACCTGCTGCCTTTCGCTGATTCCGTCTGCTTTCCGATTGCTCTCCTCTAGATTAACAACCAGCGCTCTTCTCGAACCTTGCTCATGATACCACTTGTTAGAATAATTTGAGGCACTCCGTCTTCTATCGAGGACCAAGCAATCACACAAGCACGACACCGAGATTTGTTAACGAGGTTCACCATCATGGTTACATCCCCGGGGCCTGACTACGGGCGCTCCTCCCCGTGACACCGTCACAATACCGCACCCCGGCCGCCCGGGCGCCGGCACACGCCGCCGGCTCCCCCGCGTGCCCGTGCTACTATGTTGGCATCGTGTGCCTACCCCTGATATATATGAGAGGCCTAGGATACAAGTGTCCTATTAGGACACAACTCTTACCCTGGCTACACACAGTCCAAATCAAGTCCAACTATAACCTACCTTGCACAATAACATTCGACATAATTCTAACAACATAGAGCCAAGATTTCATTTCAAAAAGACAGAGAGCCAAGAGTTGACATGTTCTGTGGCCCTCATGGACCGCCATCTTGGAGCGCAACTCTGTCAACTTGTCTCTGATGAAAATAACCCTGTTGATTTCTACGTGTTCGCAAGGATGAGAAATTACTAGGTATCACAAGGCAAAATACCAAGCAATGATGCATGTTGGATGATATTCAGCGAACCTACCGGTTAGAAAGAAGTTGCAGGTTAGGTAGGCCAACGGCACGCATGTCATGACGTCAGTTACGGAGTCGGTCAGAAGTCAAGCGGGAGACTTTCTGGGGAGAAGCTGGCCGGTCTGATAGGCCACCGGCGGCCACCCGGTGATGGAGCATCTGCCGGTGTGGGCAATGTCGATGGGGAGGCCGCGATATGTGGGCCAATTTCAAAGGGCGTGTTTGGTATGCGGTGCGGGAGCATCATCAGTTGATGGAGTGAGTCTTGAGATCACTCATTATCTACTAGGTTGGTGCAGGGACACCATTAGATTATTCATGGGACTGAAATCATACAGTTTTCGTCGTGTTTTGGAAGTTCTTAGAGCTAAGGTTGTAGGCTACGAAGAGAGTTAAATTCTGTAGAGACCGACAGCTGGACACGTCCCCCCTGATTCCCATTGAATTTGGAATTTCATATTGAATGTGTTACAAAAATAATCATCCCCTATTAGATTGCTATGTTCCAAACAAAGTAGCTTCCTTTCGGCAGTACTCCACAGTTTCTATCACAGTTCGGTAAAAAAAACTAAAGATTTTACTGAGCATACATTTATTTATAGGTTCCCATAGTAGCACTTAAAATACATACCACATGTATAATATTTGCCTGTGAAATTTTTACAACAATTTATCGACTAGGATTCTACAAACATCGCAAACTTTGAAGAAAACTTAATTGTTTGCTGTCAAAGTCCAACCATTGCGAATCGGAAATAGTCTTTGAACCATGCAAGCAAAAGGCTACGATAGGAACCATCTGCTTTAAGATTAGCAGAACCGGGTGACAAAGCATGTTAGAGGGGGGAGATGTACTGAAAAAAGGTTAGAGGGAATTTATGCCAAACCTCACATTTGGGGCATTAAACGGACTTGTCTCGGAAATGGAGCACACAAATTGTTTCTTATAAGTACTGAAAATTAATTGCCCTCTCTTTTTATTCATAAACAAAATATCATGCTGTGTTGTCAATTGGCCACACAACATTTTGACAAAATCTCCAAACACACGTAAAAAACTGCAAAATATAGAATAAACTTCTTAACCACACATGTATTTGGCATCACAAGTTTAAATTAACGTCACTTGCCATGCCCATCTAAATGCTGTAAACAAAAAGAAAACATTTGCCTTCAATGTTTTCACATTTTATATTTGAACGTGGTGTCCTTTTTATGGTACCAATTTCTTTTTGTACTTGCGACATTTTTCATACTTTGCGTAACAAGTCTGAATGATGATTAGTTAT